TCTTACAAGCTAAGTTTGTATTGTGAATAAAGTCTAACTGTACCTCAATGTTAAGGTTTCATTCGAAATTGGGCCCAATTGATTCTGCGATCCCTTAGCGGAATACACACTTTCCACTACAGCCTCACGGTGCCTCCCTTACCAAGAGAAATGTCCACAGCAATGCATCCCTCGGGCCCAATAAGTGAATAGACCGTTTCATTTATGTATATGGTCTCATACACTTTGTCTTCGTTAACCACAGTCAAAGCTATCTTTCCTGAACAAGGAATAAATAAAAAATATATTCACATATATTCAAAAAGCTATTATAGTTAATCAACGCGAATAATTACCGTTTTGGAACTCCATTCTATAGACGATAGGAGACAATTTACACCAAGTTCAAGAAAAGCGTGAGCTTCCGTATCATCAAGAATGGAAAAATCACAAAGGGATTCATTAGCAATCCCATCATTTTGCCCATCATTATCAGGGAGAACATTGAACCATTGCTTCGTGATATCGCGGTACTTTTTCTCCCAAATAATCGATTTAAGAGCTTGTTTGACGTTGCGGTGCACAATGTGACTAAGTTCCCCTTTGAACAATCCATATAAATTCTTGATGTGAGGAAGACTGCAAATATAGGTCCAGAAGAACAGGAATTCTTGCTTTCCATAGTTTTCAAACTTTACCTCATCAACGACAACGGCAGTTAGATTTTTGTGACCGCAACACAATGAAATTAGCTCGTCAAGGTCAACTGCTACAATTTGCTTCTGCATACGTTTAACAGATTTACCAGAAAATCGAAGATCCATTGACTTAATCATTGCGACACGAAAAACCTCCAAGTCCACTCGGCAGACCTTAAGATCTCGAGCACGCCATTTAGTTGTTGTAGTTTTCTTCCCATCAGACACTTCTTCAAAGACATTCTTCTCAACTTTGAGCCATCCAGGTACAACTTTTGTTCCCTTAAATTTCCCTTTCTTGATATCTCTTATATTATTTGATGTCAATGGAAGGTCAGGAGAATCAAATGAAATTGGAATACATTTCTGGATACGTTGTCTGACTTTTGACCACCAAAGGCAGATTTTCCACGATGGGACGGACAAACCTTGAAGACTGACTAGTAAGTCGACCATTGGACACATAAGATCTGTCAAAGCAAGAAGATCCACCACAAAGTCTTTTCCTGTGATTTCGTACTCGTCATCCTCATCGTAGCCATACTTTCTGAATGTATCGATATACAGAAGAAGGCTCTCAGAGAGTTTGAGGAACTCACTGTACTGCGACGTACTAAACCTGGTTCCACACGTACGGGACAGAACTTTAAATTTAACATTTTTACCGTAGCCATTATGGTTGGCAACGGACTTAACTTGTTGAAACATTTTTCCACGGTTAAACTTCGTGTGGAGCTTCATTGTTCTCTTGATAATTCTGTTGAGATATGAAAAAGCATCCTCACTGATTTTTCCATCTTTGACATCCTCATGGCCAGATCAATCCAGTGTGGAGGATCCCAAATTACGACATCAAATGTGTCATCAGTGCGTGCTAAGGCTGAATATATATTATATTATTTAAAAATGACAAACTTAATCAAATTCTTAATTTCTTAGAGTTAAAAGGGGGCACTATTTATTAGATGAGACTGTCTTAAAGAGGGCTATTAATATTAGACAAAGGGGTATGGGTTGACCTGACTAGGGCATCTGTTAATACTGTTATAAAGGGTGCAGTTATCAATAAATCAATTGGGATTTTTCCTTTTCTCTATCCAGTCAAAATTCTCTTTATTTGTATGTTATATAGGTGTGTGACAAACCAAGTTAAATTAAATTAAGTTAAATTGTACTGGTTTAAGCTATTTATTTATCATAGGCATTAATTAGATCATTTACCCATTATCAGATTAACCTCCAGAACATTTCTGACAAATAACACTTTTTCCAAAACCCTCTTCCTCATGCACAACAGTAATGCAGCATGGAGATATTGCATGACATGTCAATTTACAAATTCTGCATTTATATTGCCTATATTTTAATGATCTTTTGTATAAAAATCTATATTCTATAAAATTAAAACAATAAAAGGTAATTTTAATAAAGGCGCCATAAAGTATATAAATTTTGGTGCAAAACTAGTTTAAATGAATAGTCGGAACACAAAAATTGAAAATATAACTACGTAGATGACTCAGATTACCTAAAAGAAGGTGTATTATTACCCAGAGTAAACAAAAAAACAACTTATTTCAGTTACCTTGACGCACGATGAATATTGATGAATATATAAACAGCACATGGTATGAAATCTGTGATTCTGTGTTTCCACTTTTTTCATACAAGTTTCAGAATTCAAAATCATTTCTATTTCGTCATATCGTCGATCAGTATTAAAAAAAATCAACATCATGCCAAACATAATGACCAACTGGCGATATAAATAATTTGGTATTATTATTTTTATCAGAAAATTCTTCAATCGTCGTAGTTTACGAATTTTACGGCGTTTTACGCCCCGCCGATGATCAGGTGATCATTCATTGGCTCCGCACGCCCGCCGATGGCGTAAAATAGCAATAACATTTTACGCCGGAGATATCCAGCGTAACACCTACGGATTCCAACCTGGTTCCTTACTTCATCACCAACTCTTCCTTGTTCCTCACAAACTTCTATATCCATCCTCGTTCTTCTGCACCAATTCTTCCTCCGTCCATTATTTAAATGTAGAATATATATAATTCGGGCCATTCGGCGCAGCAAATTTCGAAACCGTCGACGGTCGAGCACATCATTGATGGTCGAACACATCATTAATCTCGTTCCCAAATCGCGCCAGCGGTAATTAGCGCGTACAAACCATTCGGTGACATCTTGTACCAAGACGATGTCAGTGACTGGAAATTTCACATTTTTTGAAAAGATAGCGGGTAGCAGTCGAAAAGCAAAGCAGCCAATTCGGTTTACTGGTTACTGCTCTTCGCACAAGTGTTGCAGTAACTATCTTCTAAAATTTACTTGATTATCTTAACTTTGAAGTATCTAAGTGTCTTCACTAATTAAAACTCTTGTGAAGTGAAATATAGAGAACCATCTCAAAACTAGATACAACAGAGTGACGTGGAAAATACCAACATTAGCAACAATATTATACATGCTATTTACAGTTAGCTTTAACATAATGTCTATCTATAATAATAACATATCTATAAACCTTGCACTTTTGATAAGTCCACGGCTAATGCTAAAATTGAAATATGATATATGTCGAGTGGTTCAAGTAAAAGTGAAATGTTAGTTATAGTATTAGCTGTGCGGTTCCATTTTTCCTTGAACCACGTGCACTCATATGTATATTGAGCAATAGAAAACATATCAAGCTTTCTTTAAGGCCCTGTCACACTATTGCGTATGAGAGAAACGTGTGAAAAGCGTATATACCGGCGTATAAGTGATATTTTTCATGCGCTGGCATACGCTAGTACGATACGCAATAGTGTGACAGGGCATTTAGTAACAAATCTTAGCGTATCGTGTTACTGGCGAGCACGTCTCCGATTGTGTCATTATATTTAGTTTGGCTTAAAATTCGTTTCTTCGTTCTCGTGACTTCGTACGTTAAAAATACGGTAGGTTACTTGATGAATATAAAAAATTGACGCACGAAACATATTATAACGCTTTTTTGACCAAGTTACAGCAGTTGTTTAGCCGTTTACACAATATAAGTATAAGCCAGTTTTATCGGCAACAACTAAGCCCACACTTAATGTGAAAAATCTGTTTATAACTAATTTCTGAACTCTTTTGTAGAATGAATAATAACCGAATTGGCTGCTTTGCATGCCATCTTTTCAAAAATCTGAAACCTTATACTATCATACTGCGTAAAATCTTTACTGGCATCGATTGGTTTAAGGTGTCACCAAATGGTTCCACGCGCTAATCACCTCAAAAGCAATCTGGGAACGGGATTAATGATGTGTTCGACCATCAATGATGTGCTCGACCGTCGACGGTTTCGAAATTTGCATCGGCGCACGAGGACTAGCTGGATCAACCATAAAACTTGCTTGTGCAGGGAATTTATACAGTAATATCTGCTCTTTCGCTTGTGGGACGTGAAATGATATACTGCGCATGCTTAACCACATTTTAAAGCGTATTAATGCGCATGTTACACCTTATTTCAAACTTGCAACGACCTCTCATTGAATTGATATAGCTTGAACGTTTAATGAAGAAAACCTCCAAAATACAAAAGAATATGGTCTGATGAGTATATAAACAAGTTAAAAGCCGCGGATATCGGTTTTTATTAAACTGTAAAGACCTCGGGCCCTCGGTCTTCGCAGTTTAATAAAAACCTCTCCCTTGGCTTTTAACCTTCATGGAAAGCTATTGAGAAAACTTCGTTAACATTTGAAGAGCTCCGAACGATTCTAGTTGAATTGAGATATAACCTTAAACAATCGTCCGTTGTTAGCAACCATCCGTCAGACATTTTGGATTATCCATGGTCCTACCGAGGTGCGACGAGTTATCAAAGGTTGTATCGATTGTCAAAAACGAAATGCAAAACCCGGAGAGCAGATAATGCATGCTCCTCTTCCTGAACCAAGAATCACTCCACTGAATCCGCCGTTCACCTTCGTGGGAGTGGATTACTTCGGTCCATTTATAGTCAGCCAAGGTCGGGCCAAGGTGAAACGATACGGGTGTTTGTTTACCTGCCTGACGATGATGGCAGTACACATTGAAATCGACCATTCCCTGGATGCAGAATCCTTCCTTTGTGCTTTCAGTAGATTCGGGAGTCGACGTGGACAACCATCTGACGTCTATAGTGATAACGGTACCAACTTTACAGCAGCACATTCCGCCCTCGAAGAAGAGTTTGTGAAACTTCACGCCAAATCTTCCCAGTCAACCATCACAGATCGTTTACGAAAGCAATACATTCAGTGGCACTTTAATCCCCCTGCTGCCAGCTACATGGGTGGCATTTGGGAGAGGCTTATTCGCTCGATTCGACGAATATTGAAAGCCTTGTTACAAGGACAGAGAGTGAATGACGAATCCTTGGTGACGTTCATGGCAGAGACGGAGAGAATTCTGAACGAGCGTCCATTGACCCGTCAAGAAGATCATCCGAATGACCTTGAACCGTTAACCCCAAACAAGTTACTTCTCCTGCGATCAGAGCAACCACCTCCTTTGGGAAGTTGGGTAGTCGGCGACAAGTTCTCTAAACGATGGAGACAAGCTCAGCAGCTCGCGAGTGCATTCTGGAAAAGATGGGTTAAAGAATATTTACCTCTACTCCAGGAACGACAGAAATGGCTGACAGTAAAGCGAAATTTACAACCCAAAGATCTCGTGTTATTGTTGGACGAGAGATTGTGTCGAGAACAGTGGCCTCTTGGTATTGTCGAAGAGGTGTATCCTGATAAGAATGGTCGAGTACGACAAGTCCTGGTGCGCACATCGAAGTCGAAGTTCAAAGGGACATTAGGAAATTATGTTTGTTGGAAGGAGACTGTTAAGTATTTGGACTCTATACGTAAGTTAGAACATTTATAATTGTTATAGTATTTATAGATTAGGATAAGTTTAAATATTTAATAATGTAGTCGATAATTTGGTTTAATGATTTGATATCAAGACGTGGACTTGATAGGGGCCGGTATGTAAAGCCCAAATTATAATTTATGATTACTGAGTCAGTCGGTATGCAGGCTCAAAACCAAAAGTTATTTAAGGGCGAATTTCGGCCTATTCAGTTTTGTATATGTTAGAACTTTGTTGAAGAACGATAAACAGAAGACTGTTGAGATATATTATTTATGTGACAACTAGAGCGATTCCCTCATTGTGAGGTAAGACATTTGTATAATGTATACGTATGTATTTAGTATTATTGTTGTAAAATCGACTTATAGGTAGGATTCATTCTTGATATAACTTATTATTTAGAAAACCGACAAACGTTATTAATTAAATAAAGTGAAGAAAATATAATCTGTCGTGTAATACTAATAGCTGGCTTTACGCATTGAAGGACTAAAAATAAACCTCCGAAATGCGACTAACATCATAACTTAACACGTCGTTCTCAGCTTGACCTTGTAGCTCAGACGGTAGAGCATCGTTCTAGAAATGCGAAGGTCGCGGGTTCGAATCCCAGCCGCGGTCAAGTAGAATTTTCTGCTTGCCCGGTTTGGTATACACTCGTCATGGAAATTGGAAACCGTGGATACGGTAGAGATTTTTGGATGATATTTTTTTCATTTGGTTGCATGGTGAGCAAAGATTGAGGGAATTTCTAAATTTTATTAATTCTTACCATAATACAATTAAGTACACTTGGGATTGGTCTATGAGTCAAGTTTTATTTTTGGACGTCACCATTTCCGAAGATGTAGGAGGTAGTGTTTGTACTAATATGTATTCGAAACCTACGGATACTCACCAGTATTTGGAATCTAGTTCATGCCATCCGAGACATGTAAAACAGGCTATTCCGTATGGGCAGGCATTAAGATTAAAGCGTATTTGTAATTCGGAAAGTAAATTTGATCAACGGGTTGGGGAGTTGAAAAAACATCTGTGTGATAGAGGATTTAAAGAACGTCAAATAGTCTCTCAATTTGAGAGGGCTAAGAGTAATGACAGAAGAGCTTTGCTGTTTCACAGGAAAGAAAAAGATTTAAAGTCAAATATGTTGCCTTTGGTTTTGAATTTCCACCCTGATTATCGGGGGTTGGTGAGGTAGTTAATTCTTTGTGGCCTGTTTTGCATGCAAGCTAATTCGGAGGGTATGAGGGAAATTTTGGGTGATATGAAGCCCTTGATTTCGTTTAGAAAGCCACGAAATTTGGCAGATAATCTTATTAGATCTAAGGTTAAAAAGGTAAATGTTGAGGGGAAGGGAATGAAAAAGTGCGATAAAGCCAGATGTCAGATCTGTAATCTTGTAGTGGAAACACAAAAGTTTGAACACAATGGGCATACTTACTGGATAAATTATTCCTTCGATTGTGATTCGATAGAGGTGATTTATTTACTTGAGTGTGCTAGGTGTTTTAAGGTTTATGTTGGTAGTACTATAACAACTTTTAGGAAGAGGTTTAACAACCATAAGAGTTCTCTTAGGAAATATGGGCAAGGGATCAGGCATATGGCTGGCGAGCACTTGTATGCGCATTTTTTTGGCGAGGAACACGAGGGCTTGGCCGATCTCAGAGTTATTATTATTGACAAAACAAGTATGAATGATCCTACGCAAAGAGAGGCATTTTGGGCATATAATTTGGACACGTTTGCACCTAAGGGATTAAATGTAAGGGATTTTGGGTAATTTATGTTAATAAATTGAATAGGATATAAAAGCATGTACATCTAACTCTGTTATTTATCCTTGATAAAGGGGCATGCCCCGAAACGCAGGGTAAGAATAAAGTCTTAAAAAGTCCGTTTTGTGATTTATTTATATTAATAAATATTAACATAAATATAATTTATTTATATTAATATAATATATATATATATATATATATATATATATATATATATATATATATATATATATATATATATATATATATATATATATATATATATTTATATATTTATATATATATATTTATATTAATCAACAATAATTGTACTGGTGGAACAATAACAATCTAACATTTAGGATCACATTTATGAATATTTTAAACATTTTTATTACTAACTCTATAGATTTTATAAATGGATTTTATGTAATAAAAACAAGTTAATATTCGGTATGCTGATTCGCGTCGCTGCTCACACTAATCGATAATTAGTGCTAGAGTTAATGCCATTAGCCGAACATATAAATAACCATGCAGAGTTTCTTGAAGCATGCTCTCGATCAGTTGCTTTCAACGTCGCCCACACACCCTTGGTTGGAAGCCGCAGGGGTGAGTATATAGTTAGTAGCTATTACATTATATTTCCTTGTAAATAGGTGACTTGTCGCGGATGGGTATGGTGGGAGGTCTCGATGACTTCTCGCCTGGTTACGAGCAGGGCTAAAATTATGATACATCATAATCAAATTTGAAATGAACATTATAATACTTACAAATTATAAATGTCATTTATGGTCAGTTTATACAGAATTCAAGATTCCATGATAACCTTGTCACCGAATCCATCCCTACCGATCGGCATCGGGCAATAATAGTATTATATATATAGTTAGTTGTTATCAGTGTAGAGTGTTAAATTCAAACAATTTAGACTCGTTTACTTATTGTAAATAATCATATACAATTCTAATTTGGACGGCATGTATAAAAGACGCATTAATATTGTTGTACATTATTCACCCACTGAAGAAGCCTATAACTGGTGAACGTCTGGGTTATTAAATTGACTTTTTATACCTGAAGAGTTCCCTGTTTTATTTTGAAACACCATATTCTCATCATTACGATTTAAAAAGAGTGTCATTGAAAAGTTAAATAACTAGTGCTCTTTCGACCTATGTAAAAATTGAATTGTTTAGCCACGTTTGTTATGCACGACAGGCTGTCGAATTTCCATAGCGTTTCTTGTAAGACACCCTGCATGTAATGTATGTATCAGCATCAGCACTACACTGATGAGGCCCATAAGGCCGAAACGGTACCGTCTGTAGTTAGATATCGCTCTATGGCCTTTAGGTCATATTGAGCGCTCTACATGCAGGATGAGCCATTGCCGCTTACGCACGCTCACTGCTTGCATTTGAGCGCTCTGGCATGGTTTTGATGTCCCACATTCGTGAGGCATCAAAGGTAACTGGAAATATAGCAGTCTGTAATCAAACTATATATATATATATATATATATATATATATATATATATATATATATATATATATATATATATATATATATATATATATATATATATATATATATATATATATCATAGATTAGGAAATGAATAGATGGCTCATTCCTTTGATGTTTTTGACGCCACCGGCACCCACGCATGTTCTTGCCAGAGTAATGGCGGCCTAGCAAGAACTATAATAAAATTATTGTGAAATTGACATCCGTGCTACTATTTTTCCGCTTTCAGGGGTTTTAATGGAAAAATAAATCAGAATTATAAAAATACAGGATTTAGTAGCACCGATGTCAATTTAACAATGCATTTTACTACAGTTACTTGCTAGGCCGCCATTACTCTGGCAAGAACATGCGTGGGTACCGGCAGCGTCAAAAACATCAAAGGAGTGAGCCATCTATTCATTTCCTAATCTATGTATATATGTCTACTGACCTGCTCGAAAAGTTTGGGTGGCCGACTCTAGATGAGAGAAGGAAACGGTTTAAAATGTCCATGTTGTTTAAAATCTTGAACAATAATGCTCTCCAACTTATTTGAAAGAGCTATAACTATAATGACGGAGCTCAATCCTTTGGGCTACGTAATGCGAATTTAAATCTGTCACTGCCATCTGTCAAAACAGAATTTTATCAACAAAGCTTTGCTTTTTCTGGCGCAAAGCTTTGGAACACTTTGCCAAATGATCTTAAGACAGAAACATCTTTAAAAAGTTTTAAAGACAAATTGGCTACACATCAAGTTAAATCTCTGTTCTCTAATCACTGATATATATTTGATATAATTAAATTGCACGCTCGGCTTACGGGAAGAACAAGGATGTAAATATGTAAATATGTTTTCCCTTTGATGTAATTACCGTGTTGAAATAAAATTTTTAATAATAATAATAATAATATATATATATATATATATATATATATATATATATATATATATATATATATATATATATATATATATATATATATATGTACATAACGGTTGATGATGATGCAATCAAACGAACGGTTGATGCAATCAATCGAACGGTTGATGATGATGCAATCACGTAATCAGTAACAAAATCGTGAACAAAATCGCCTGATGATCGTCTAGAAAGGACGTGAAACTCAGAGTAGCGATATTTAATTTTAAGATATAGACAATCTATATATATATATATATATATATATATATATATATATATATATATATATATATATATATATATATATATATATATATATATATATATATATATATATATATATATATATATATATATATATATATATATATATATATATATGCATATATATATATATATGCATATATATATATATATGCATATATATATATATATATATATATATATATATATATATATATATATATATATATATATATATATATATATATATATATATATATATATATATATATATATATATATTTAAAATACTCATTAATAATCCATGAAACCTTGTGGCAAATCATGTCAGCCATAATGTGTCACGTGGAGTGACTTTATATATCTGATAAAGCATGTGGCATTATATATTTGTTCATCCTAATTAGTATGATTATATAATGGTTCAGTTGGTACCTTCAACATATGAATATGATTATATGTGATGATTAATGCTGATTATGTGCTGATAATGCAATGATTAAGCGCGTAAAAAAGTAAAAACACTGCTCTGCAGTCAGTTGAATCATTTTTAATCGAACTGACGGGACTAATTTCTAAGTCAGCGTTTTAACTTACAATTTTTCATGTACAATTTATGAAGTTTTGACATGCTCGTGCGATTACAATGCATTCTAAACTCCCAGAGGTTATGAAATTTGGATGTTTACAACAAACGGATGATTTCTAAAGGGTCACTGTTTTTAGACACCCTGCATGTTATGGCAGCTAAAACTGCACGTCATACTATAGATTAATTCGTTTACCCCTTACAAAAATACCCAATTGGAGTTCCAATAGGAATCGAATTTCTTTTGGGAAAATGGCCCAAATTCCGATTGGAATTCCGATAGGAATTTAAATTTTCCTATTGAAATCTATTGAACTTGGCTCAAATTCCAGTTGGGAATTCCAATTCTGTAACAATCCACGACTGCCATGCAACTCATTCTTGGTTTGACCTTATAAACAACGTGTATAAAAAAGATAATCCAACTGCCCCATGTTTGTGTGCATTATAGATGTTCAGTTTACCGATACATTTTTACACAGCAACAAAATTCAAGCTTTTAGCCGTCCAACGATTAGCTGTCCGATGTTTTTTTTGTATCATTATAAGAGAAAATGGCGAAATACGAATCGTATTAGTGACTGGCCAACTATTGAATGTAAATCCGATTTGGATGGAAAATTCATGAATTTCAATTTAAAAATTTGTCACATCTGATCACTTTGTTTTATAAGCTTATTGTTTGACATTACACATTATACTTTGAGATCATATTGATTTTTCTTTTAGTGTTCTGCACTGTTAAAAATGTCAGTGATTTCAATTGACCATTTGCGTAATAGACTAAATTTTGATCTAGGCAAAAATTTCATCACAGCTTGAAAGAACATCACAAAATTAGTAATATTCCAAAGTTTCGTTGCGAAATGTTGTAAAATGCGGAAAATATAGCCTTGCGAAATTTGCAATTTTCAGTCATTTTAGATTATACAAACGGGAAATTGACAGCCTCAAAGCGTATCGGGCTGTCAATTTCCCGTTTGTAATCTAAAATGACTGGAAATTTCAAACTTCGCAAGGCTATATTATCCGCATTTTAGAACATTTCGCAACAAAACTTTAGAATATTACTAATTTTGTGATGCTCTTTCAAGCTGTGATGAAATTTTTGTCTAGATCAAAATTTAGTCTATTACGCAAATGGTCAATTGGCTGGCATTGGCCGGTAGTTTTGTTTGAAATGATACAAAAAAGGTGTCATTGGAAAGCTAAAACCCTAATCTTTATTAATATGAAAAAAATAAATCCGTGCAACTGATATGGAGCGCACAAGGGCAACCAAAAGCTGTATTACCGGTTTTTTATACACCCTGTATATTACATCATTCACTTAGTCATACCTTTAGTGCGTGTTTACTGCTTCATCTTAGGCGGTGAAAGTAATATATTGGTTCCAACCCAGCACGCACGATAATAGCCATTTTCTGATTCAATCTAGACTCTAGTATAAGTTAAACCGGTTCTTTTATGGAGTTTAATAGTCACGAAATCGAAGTAAAGGTTTGAAGATTCCATGCCAAGCGAATACACACATTTGAGTTCAACTAAAGATGGTTTTCCACGAGCGAATTTTCGGTCAAGCGAAACGAACTTTCCATTGTTAAAACTATAGATATATAAATAATTAGATTCCCGTGATGACGTTCGTTTAACCCGTGGTTTAACACCAAGCATAAAAGGGTCATAAAACACAGTCATGATTCAATGCTCGGTTTTTCCGATTGTTTTGAAAATCCCACTGTTCTCCACACCATCCATCACTAATTGTTTTAGCTTATATTTGGACTTTTCTAATTTTCTCTTTATTGTACCATCTAAAATCTCTTTATTTTAGCATTCTTTTAGAAAGCACTAAACATAGATTTTAAGTTTATTTGCAGCTTGAGAAACGCATCAAGAATTAGAAATTTTGAATATAGTCATAACCATGCAAGTGGAAAATTATAATAATAAGTTTTGAGCGTTAATATATAATTTAAGGTAACATATCCACCAAAATGGCAGAAGTAAAAAAAAACATATATATGGAATTATATGCGTTATGACGTCACTTGCATGCGAGGGCGAATAACAGGTTATTAACAAGTTGATGACCATGCAAGCGTGTAACACCTTGTTAGGAATTCCTGTTGTTGGGACAACTTATAGCAAGTCCGTGTTCATAGCCTATTAAGATATGATGGTTTGGAAACTATACAGAAACCATTGTGTTATGTTTTAGCAATTTATTTTTTATAAATAATATAGCCAGGTAGGGATGGCTGAGATGAAACGTGAATGACTTTTTTCTGACTACTTGAGACAAAGAATTTGCCCACGTTGACGTAACAATTTAACCAAAGTCCAAACTTAGCCATTTTTTTTAATATAGCTTTGATATTTTCCGGGCTTCTAGATTTCTTGACACCGTATGGTTTAATCGCATTTGACACTTTTATATAATCCACACTAATAACATGTGTTCGTTTTCCTGTTATTTAAATGGGCTCTCGCTCGTTCCCTGCAATACAATAATCCTTACAGGTACTGAAACATTATATTCAAAGAGTGATCTATTTACGAGGGTCTTTCAAAAACCTCGTTTGCCATTGGAATCCTTTTGGAGTTTTGGACCAATTTGTTTTGAAACAAAATATCTCAAAAGAATCCCACACGGCCTTACGTAATCGATATATAATGCTGATTTGGCGAAACGTTAAAATTATCATGATGTGCCTCTTGCTTTTTGCCCTTATCGCTTCAAGTTACGGTTTCTCTCGAACTTCTGCTCGGAGAAGGTATGACAAGAAAAACCCCCCAAGACGTAGAATGCGATTGCCAAAACATTCAATTTTTGGACCATGGTATTTATAAGGGACGACTGCAAACGAAATAAGGTATTTATATATATTATTAATATATCAGTTGGAAGAGCATTGGGCTAGTATTCCAAAGGTCGTAGGCCGGTTCGATCCCGCCGTGGCCAGGCATATTTTTCAAGCCTGCCCCGCGGTGTGGATATACTCATATACACTCAGAGTAACATCACACAAACATATTAATATTTTATTCATCGTATGTGTATTCATGATATTAATAAAACGGTTCGTCCCCATGCACATTGGTGGGAGCCTATTGCGTAAGCATACAAATTTTAAATTACGAAATAATAAGAAATTCTAAGTACTATTTAAAACACAAGCAGGAGTGCTTTATCAGATATAAAACATGAGAGCGCAGCTCGAGTGTTTTATATCTCATAAAGCACGAAAATGTTTAAAAACGACCTATCTAAAGAGTTCATTGGCGAAGTAATTTTAAAATTCAACGTTGTCTAGGCCGAGAAAATCAAAGCTAAAGCCGATTTAGATCGAGCTCGGCTCTCCTGTTCTGTATCTGATGAAGCAGTCTCGCTCGCGTTTAACTAGAGCCAAGTAAAAAGAAATAAATGGTTTCTCGTCCTCGCCCGCATCCTTTTTCCCTGCCGCATGGATTTTTCTTTTTTTTATGTTTTATATTCGAGCCTTTCAAAGAATTTCCACTTAGCATATTTCGGCCATTTCGCTCCTTTCGGCATAGTTCGGTTGCCGTTCAAATATTTTCGTCAACTCTACAATCCCTCACAAAAATTATGAGACTACCCATGTGAAAGTATAATTTCCCCTCCCCCTACAGAGCAATATGTTGCTCGTGATTGAGTTGAAGTTGTGAAGCACAATGCTTGAAATAACAGTCAACATTGTTTTGAAGGGGGAGGGGGAGAAGGACGAGCTCCTGATGGTAGGAATTTGCTAATTTTATAGATAAATATGCAAGTCTCAATATATTTTGTGAAGGATTGTAGCTTGCTGTTCGGTACTTCGCGCCCGCTGTTCGCGCCATATTGTTATTTTGGCGCCATATTGCATAAGTAGCTGTTTGTCTATTTTAATATATTTATACATTTTATGAGTAAACTTCAATATTTGCGTGTTTTTTATAGGCTATTTTTGGTAAACTTTAAGAGCAATATTTGAAGGTTTAACACTAAAAAAAATGAGCGCCGGCATTCTCCTTTTTTTTCAAAATTCGGACGAGAAACTACTATTTTTACTTGACCTAGTACTTAAAAGTCCCTGATGAAGTAATTAAATTAAAATTAAATTAGTTTTGTTTATTAGCACATCACATGTCCATGAAATTGCATATTAGCAAAATCTGCAGCAAGGCCTTTCGAAGCCTTTACCATATCAAACAAATCAGGAAATACTTAACTGACGATGCTACCAAAACTTTAGTTTATGCATTTATTACATCCCATTTGGATTATTGCAACTCTTTACTGTATGGAATTCCAAAATATCAATTAAATCGATTGCAGAAAGTGCTAAACGCTGCTGCTCGTGTTGTATGTCTTGTACCTAAGTTTGATCACATTACCGACCTACATTAATGAGACTGCATTGCATGGTTACCGGTTAAATATCGTGTTATATTCAAGATCGTACTGTTGGTTTATAAAGATCTGCATGGATTGGCTCCCAAATATATTTGTGACATGTTAACTTATAAACAAAGTAATAACTACTCTTTGAGATCGGACGAACTAGGGCTTCTTCATGTTCCAAACACACGTAGAAAGTCTTTTGGTGATCGTGCCTTTTTGAAAGCAGGACCTATACTCTATGGAACTTAGTACCGTGTGAGATTCGGCTTTCACCTTCGGCTTCGTTGGATTCTTTTAAGACAAATCTTAAGACATTTTTGTATAGAGATGCGTACATTAATAATACTTCATGTTTTTAAATATTTTTAAATAGATGCTTATAGTAGTTAAATGTTGTGTAAATTGAACGTAGGGAAATTTTTAAATTAGCTTCCTATTTTATGTAATTTAGCGCTTTAGAATATTCTATAGTTTTAGCGCGGTATAAATTAATAAATTATTATTATTATAAATAGAAAGGCTTAAACTTTTCCGTACGGATGAAAAATGCTTAACTGAAAAGCAGCCTTTAGTTTTTATTTGTACTACAGTAGATAGCTACGTTAATTGTGAATTGCGAGGGTTTCGGTTGCGCAATCGTCTGATTGCATGCATTTTGCAAAGCGCCTTTCGTTTCTGAGATCGTGAGTGTAATTCTCGCTGTAGACTCATGACACAATCTCATTATCTCAAAACTTAACTTCGGCCGTTCATTCCATATGGCATATGCCATGTATTTAGGCTTCCATGCAATCATGAGTTGGACATCTTGTCAAGAGATCTACATTCTTGTTCCCATTTGGTGGCAATTCGCCTATAATGTGAGATTAAATAATAATAATAATAAGAGGGAGATAGCATGAATAGCTGAAGACCACGCATGAATAGCTAGGGGTTCTGGGGGTTTGTATGTAAAAAAAGGCCCTTACTCGTAAAGGATCATACGTGATCATTTCTTGTATATTTTCAAGACAATTCTTCATCATTTTACAATGACTGTTGTCGTCTGTAAGCCATCTTCCAGTGATACCATTGTTGGCCTTGCCCACATACACTTGGGTTTTGCCCGCAATGACGTTTAGCTTCAACTGAATGCCGGCGGCGTTACCGTGCTGAAAATCTTCGTGAAAATCCTGCATGACCCCGTTTACACTTTCCGTGTCCCACTGAATCGAAAATTTCTGTTCACGATGAGTTTTGTTACAAAATAAATACATATAGACACTTCCTTCTTAATTCCAAGAATTGTCTGGTCTGCAAAGGTGTGCGAATCCAATCCGAATCCGAATCCGATCCGATCGGATGTAAATCCGCACTTTCTGCCATTGTTTAAATCTTAAAAGAATCAATCTCAAACTCATTAATAATTCATGAGCAAATTAGCCAACCGTATTACTTTATTTTGCTCATATGATAATAATGGATACCTGATGAAGTATATTGATCCAGTCCTAGGACAGGATCAAAATTAACTCAGTCCTTAGCTTGGACTAGATTAAAATGAATTAAGTATAGTGATTTATTCGTACGAGATGTCATTTCAAATCTTCCAATTCGCACTGGACTAGCATTTCCTCGCATTTTTATCCAGTTCTCGGCTTCACCTCGGGCTTGATCAAATTGCGCGAACTTGAAATCTACTCCAGTCCTCATAGTCGGATTTCAAATATTACATAATGCACCCACGCTTCATGTATATACATCAAACAAGAAACCACAAAATCGGATTTTTTTATCCGTTATCAATGGCTTCGGTCAAATTAAAATTTATGGTTTATACTTGCAGGTCCCGTCGACTAGATGCGTCCGTGGGAATATGACATCTGCCAATCTAACTCAACACATTTTCAGTTTGTTTTGAATAATTTAAAATCATGCCATCGCGGCTGCTGGGCTAATACAATTTCTGCAACTGCCCAGTTGTTTGTTATCAACGCACATGAAACAAGTGCAGTGTCTACTGAGTCTTCGTAGAAAAAGCCATATATGCATGGTTGCAAATTAAGGGAAAACGTAGTTGTATAGTCTGATTATAAACTATGAATTGAACTATATGTAGTCTCGCTGCGAAAAGAGTGATCGGTCAACGCTCTACAGCCGAAAGTCGTGGGTTGTCTCCGGGCGCCCCCGTTTCCTCCCACTGCAAAGTTGACAGGGTGGGTTAAGATAAACACGGTTAGGAAAGTAATATCACAATTAATTGTGATTTTTTCTGTGTTGGCGTTATGTACTCAGGTGAATATGATGTTTGTGATGTTACTCTGAGTGTGTATATATCCATACTGGGCGAGCTTGAAAAGGTCGTATGTTCGATTCCCACCGTGGCCAGGCATATTTTTCAAGCTTGTCCGATGTGGATTTACACTCAGAGTAACATCACAAACATCACAATATCACACTCGTTGTAAAGATAGAATAAACTGATTACGCAATCGAAATCAGGAAACGGATCTAGCACTTCCAAAACCAAAAACTAATTTTTTGAAGCGAAGCTTTAAATATAGTGCATCAATGCTGTGGAATAATCTTCCATTAGATGCAAAAAGAGCGACTTCGCTCAGTCAATTTAAGCGTAGCATTGCGCAGCTGTCCTTTTAGAACCATGTTTACTTAATTACAGTTAACTCTCTTTACTTACTTTACTTACTTTATTTTTTTCAGTTGTTGGGGGAGAAGGGGAGGTTGGGGGTTCATATATTATTCTATATATTTTACTATTTTGTATATCACGCCCCTCCTGTAAATCAGCTTTCAGTTGTGCGAGGCTAGCGTGTTTTCATTTTAAATAAAATTGATTGATGACGATGATGGTATTCCAAGAAATATCGTTGTATATCGGCGAGCGAGTTAATATTATCTGGCATCACGTGTAAGTAAGTGCTAGTCGAACTTTAGCCTCCAATAGCAAATGGTAAACTTTGCAATCCAAACATTTACGGTCAAGTTTTGTGTGCATTTCGGCTATTAGGGCAATCCAATTTCTTGCACGAACTTGAACTTCCAAATGTAAATTGCAGCCATAGAACCAAAGGTCGCGGAAGCACCTCGAAGTGTGTGTGTGTGGGGGCACTGACCAGAAAGGGCACTTGAGTCAGAATCATTCTAAATATGTTAGATATAAGATAAGATAAGATGATGTTTAATAGCACAAATTCGCACATAAAGTGAAGTACAAAGTGCTTACATTAAAATACTATAATAATATAAGATTATTTACAATGGTTGTTAGAACAAAGTTAAAATCAAGTCTCACCAGTCACTATTTACTATTAGCGATATTAATTGTATTTGGGAAAAAGCTATTTTTAAACCGATCGGTTCGACATTTATAAGTTGATAAATTATTTAATGATCTAATAAAATAATTATGCTCGTTCGATCTAGTCTGTGTCACGTGTTGTGTAAGCGGACCACCTCTGGTTATCTTCGTGAGTGTCTTCAAACATAGATCTTCACGTCTAGTCTCCAATTTGGTGATACCAGCCGACAGCAACGCATCTTTGTAAGTTTGTTCAGGATATACAATACGCAAGGCTCGCTTTTGGATTTTTTCAAGTTTGTCAGATAAATAGCATGAGATAGAGTTGTGCCAAACTTCACAAGAGTATTCAAGGATTGAGCGTATTAACGCAATATACACAGTGAGAAGGTCTGCAGGAGGAATACCACTTCGGCGCAACACCCGGAGGATATGCAATCGTTTGGATGCCTTCGAGACTATTTCATGGATATGTTCATCCCATTTCAGGTTGTTTTGGATCGTGAGTCCCAGTACTTTATGTGAACGCACTGTCTCAATTGGGTGTCCATCGATTAACAGAGGCATTAATTGGGGGGTTTCTCCAAGGAAACTGATAGAGGTGCAATTTCTGCTAAGACTCTCAGAGGTTGAAACGTCGTCTACGTATTTCCACATTCTAGTGTCGGGAGAAGTGATTCGCAGGTTATTGACCATTACTAGGAACAAGATTGGACCTAGTTTTGTCCCCTGAGGAACACCTGCATTCACTGGAAGCCAGTTGGAGGTTGCTCCGTCAAATTTAACACGCTGCCTTCGATTTGAGAGGAAGTTGATGATCCAAGGGATTAATGAGCGTCTAACACCCAAATTTATCAGTTTCTCAATTAATAGATTATAACCAATGCGGTCGAAGGTCTTGGAGAAGTCTAGGAAACAAATACGCAGATGATTACCGAGTCCGTCAAGGTGGGAAAGCCAAGTATGTAACATATCCAGAAGGCAAAAAGTGGTGGATGTCCCTTTCAGGCAACCAAATTGGCTGGGGTCGATTTTTTTTCTTTTACATCCTCAATCAGCCAAGATACTACAAAATCCTCTAAAACTTTAGACAAGCACGATGTTAGTGATATAGGCCTAGTGTCGGCTTCAGCAATCGGTTTACATGTTTTAGGGATTGGGACTATGTTCGATTCCTTCCAACTACTCGGCACAACTCCTGAAGCAAGGGATGTATTAAAAATAATGGTGATCGGCTCAGCTAGCACGTGAGCATACTCCTTTAAAATTCGAGGTGAAATATTGTCAGGTCCGGGGGCTTTAAAAGAATGGACAGTTTGGAGTTTCTTACAGACTTGGTAACATTCAACTGCAGGTACACTTTCATTTGATGGTGAAAAAGGTGGTAATAAGTTCACATCTAATGGCGGAATATCAGCGTTAACGGAAGTATAGAATTCGTTAAGGGCATTGGAAGCTTGTAAATTGTTTAGGATTTCACCATCGCGTTCTAAGGTGAAAGGCTTTGTTGTTTCCGGTTTGCCAGACATTTTGTTAATGATTTTCCACCACTTACGACTATCGCTGTTTTTTAAATGCTGAACTTTGTTTTTATAAAATGATTTCTTTCTTTGCTTAATCTCCTCTTGGACTTTATATCTTAAAGATTTCCATAGGGGGATATTATGGTTATGGAATGCTTTCTGTCGGTCTTTAATCAGTTTTTTAATACTTGGGGTTATCCAAGGTTTATCGGTTTGATGCCACTTCACAGTTATATGAGGGAATATACGATTAATGGCTTCTGTAAGGTGCGATGAGAATGATGATGTTAAATCGTCTACCGTTTGATTAGTCCCTAACTCGCCAAACCAGACATGTGTAGCGATCCATCTCCCCAAAGCTTCAACCCCAGACCTTGGATAGCGCCGGATGCGACGTTTGACAGATTTCGTACGTTCTTGAGAATTGGTATTCTCTAGACTGGGTGACCATGTTACAATGTTATGGTCTGAGGACCCTAAGGGCGCTAAAACTTGGGGAGGTTCATACAGGTTTGGTTGGTTCGTAATTATCAGATCCAAAATGGCTGTACCTCTTGTAGGGACTTTGACAACTTGCTTCAGGTTATGGCTTGATAATATATTCGATATATCGAAATCGTTAAAATCACCAAGAAGGACTAGACCACAGTTGGGATGTTGGTTGCGTAATGATATGTCCTTAGAAGGTCTACAGTATACTCATAACCAAGTGGAAAATTATATTAATTCGTTTTCAGCGCTTGCATGTTACGTAAAACACAACATTTGCTACCCAAAATGGCAGAAGTCAAAAAATGATTATATGGAATTATATATGTATTATGACGTCACTTGCGAGGGCGAATAACACTGTTGTTAACAGGTAGATGACCAAGCGCGTACGTAGCACCTTGCTATAGGAATTCCTGTTGTTGGGACAACTTATAGCAAGTTCGTGCATGTTATAGCATATTATGTTTTTGCAATTTATTTTTGTAAATAATAGTCAGGTAGGGATGGCTGAGATGAAACGTTTAGACAAAGGATTTGCCCACGTTGACGTAACAGTTTAACCAAAGCGCAAACAAAGCCCTTTTTCAATAGCTTTGATATTTTCCGGGCTTCTAGATATCTTGACACCGTTTAATCCATTATAATCCAAAATAATAACATGTCTTTGTGTTCCTGTTATTTAAATCGTTCCCTGCAGCAGGTAAATCAGTAATCCTTACAGGCACTGAAATATTATATTCAAAGAGCGATTTATTTACAAGTGTTTTTCAAAAACGTCGTTCGCCGTATAGCTATTGCTACACACATTAACGGTTTTTCAAGCGTAAAAGTTGGAACCCTTTTGGAGTTTCGGACCAATTTGTTTTGAAACAAAATATCTCAAAAGAATCCCACACGGCCTTACGTAATCGATACACAATGCTGATTTGGCGTAACGTTAAAATTATCATGATGTGCGTCTTGCTTTTTGCCCTTATCGCTTCAAGTTACGGTTTCAATCGGGCTCCTGCTCGGAGAAGATATGACAAGAAAAACCTCCCAAGACGTAGAATGCGATTGCCAAAACATTCAATTTTTGGACCATGGTATTTATAAGGGACGACTGCAAACGAAATAAGGTATTTATATATTATTAATATTTTATTAATCGCATGCGTATGATAAAACGGTTCGTCCTCACATTGGGACACTATTGCGTAAGCATATGCAAGTTTTAAAGTACAAAATAACGAGAAATTCTAAGTACGATTAGAATATTACTTTAAATACTAGAATTCAACAATTAGTAAAACACGTATAATAAACAGACGTAATAATTAGTAACAAATGTCCTAATTAAATGTTAAGAAAGTATAGTTTTGAACGAATAGTTTTGCGCTCAAAAATGGGCGAAATTCCTTTATGCATACAACATTTTAAACAGAAGGCACTCGATCGTACTTCCCCTGTTTAAATTTATAAACAACGCATTGCTGATTCACAACATGTTGTAAAATAAAACTTATATTGCATTTGTTTCAAAATTAATTTCAAAAACAATATTTATTAATTACTATTTTATTGTTATGTTTAAAAGACATCTTTTTTGTACAGTTAGCAAACAACTAAAAATATTTACAAAATTAAAGTTGCGCAATTTTACTAAATACGCCGGAGGGATGCTGTGGAATAGTCTCCTGCCAAGTTGGCAGGCCGGATATTATTATTCACTCTTTTAACGATATTATCAGTTTCCAGCTAAGCGTTTTTCTTATACGTGCATGTGTGCACTCACGTGCGCGTACAGGAACCAACAAGACAAGTCTAACAGATTTAACCTTTCGGCCTAAACCAAAAAGAGAGTACCTTAAAAAGAGTTTCAATTATACTGGAGCTAAATTGTGGAATAGCCTCCCGTTTGATGCAAAGGTAGCGGAATCTGTTAGCCAATTTAAGAATATTATTAGAGGTAGTGATAGCTAAATGATATTTGTGGTCACACCAGTAACATTTACAATGTAAATATTTCTTTTTTGTAAATAGTTAATATTGGACGCCCCCCGTGGAAATCAGCTAATTGCTGTCGGGGCCAGCGTCATTAAATAAAGTTTTACCATACCATACCATACCATACCATACAAAGAAAATCATTACCGTGTCCGTGGTTTTATATGTGATAAAAAACAATCTTCATTTACATAAACCTTAACTTTGATTTTCTCGGCTGAGAAAAGGTTTATTTTTGCAATTACTTCGCCAATGAACTCGAGGGGCAAAATTGTGGACCAACCTCTTCGATGAATTAAGGAATAAAGAATCTCTTCCTATACCATTAATACAACTATTGCGACATCTGGCCGGTTAATTAAGTCAATTAATTATTTAATATTCTGATTGTTCGATAAATGATACGTTTGACATCTGATTCTATACAAAAACAATCGACACACGGCAGTGTTAGAAAAAAACGTCGCTATATAACAAAACACTTAGTGCCTGTTTTGTATTCATTCGTGCATAACAACAAGATAGGGCATTTGTAGACTTATTGGTATGTTAGGGTTTGTAATCCAAGTGATTATATACATTTTAAGACCTGACCAGGAACGACTGCGAAAAATGCAGCACAAGGTCCTCTGGTAGGATTTGAACGACCCTGCGATTATATTCTGCGATTACATTCTAATATTAATTCCACCAAGTGAAGTGCAAAGAAACCACATCATTCAAGTCCATTTGTAGACTTCTTAGCTTAAGGGGCAATTTATAACTCCTCTTTAATTGCTGGGAAAAGGACACTTTTATTCCACAAAAAGGGAACATTTTCCCCTTGCGCAAAAAGAGGGGCGGGGGGGGGCACTTGCCCCCAATGCCCCCAGTTCACACCCTCTAACGGTTTGTGACGGCGCCCCTCATGAAACTTAACATCTGTTGATCAGGTAGCGTCTTTAAATAAATCTTACATACATACTTATCCGCAGAGTCGGTTAACGCTCTACTAAAAGTCATGGGCTTTCACGTCGCGTTTTCCGGATTCCTCCCACAGGGAAGCTGACAGGGTGGGTTAATTGAGATTAGCCCGTGACTGACCTTATTATAAATCTTTTTTTACAAGCAAATTATATGTTATTATATTATTATATGTTATCAACTGAGCGAGGTCCGGACTGGAAGATCATTATAGTCGAGTTGTTTACAACACTTTTTGAATATTTAAAAATTGCAGGATTTTAAAGACCATGTAAAGTCCGTAATGTAAACAAACGCTTTGTTTACATTTTGAACTCAGTGCTACAATTGTAAAATATGATTAGATATATATTATACTGAATTTTTAACACTCTTCTGGTTCGATATGCTTGTAAATGAATACAGACTAGAGATTCAATTCAAGAGAGTTCAAAAGCTACGAAATATTAATAACATTCCAACGGTCGGGTCCCAACCATTGGAATGTAAGCCTGCGCAGAACGTATGCGCAGAACGGACTTTACATGGTCTTTAAATTTCTTTGACAAAGATAAAGCGATAATAACATATTTTCAGATATTAATACACTAAAAGACGAAAACAGAACAGTTTCTAGTCCAGTTTCGTTCTTGTTTAATTGCCCGAAATATCGTTCAATGGCGGCAAGTATTAACTATTACTAGCTCTGTCAACATTTTAAGTGTTGAAAAAAGAGTTTTTATATGTCCATGTAAACAACATTTCAACACAAGCAAGAGCAGAATAGTGAGTTATTTTCTATAAAATAACTACCCAGGGTTACTAAAGGAGTTATTTGAGCTTTCTTCGCGAGCTATCCATCCTAACGGTCTATACTATGAGATCAGTGATGAACTGCAAATTACCGAGCGCTCAGGAACCAATCAAAATGCTGCATTTTGCAGATGGACAGCCTTGCCATATAATAAATGGATACGTTCGGGCTTCATTGTCTCGTTTGAATGACTTTCAACATATTTGAATTTGACTACTAATTGTGGGGCCATAAAAAATTCACCTTCTTTAATTCAATAAACAAACAAACAAGGTGTTAAATATTTGGAAGGAAAAGCAAAAAAATGAAAAACTGTCCGTGTGTTGAAAACCAATTTGCTTACTTAAATGACGAGTGTCGTAAATCCTGTTATAATAACTCGTGAACATTCCCAAATAGTCAAATCTCTTGTGAGATATAAATGTAATAGGATAGCATCTTGTTATCCAGACCCTAATAATAGCCTCATATTGCAAAAACACTTGTACGGTCGTTAAACAATTGTTTAAGTACAGCCAATCAGAACCATCAATAAGTTCAGTCGCGACCAACTCAGAAACAACTGCCCAGATCTGGGGAGCGCAACTTGGGGTCGACAAGCACACAGGCTGGTTAGCCAGGAAAAGCAACTAATTTTTTCTGCATTTTGAAAATTTGTGTTTTCCATGGTCTTAATTAGAATTAAATTCTCTATTTATTTTAACGATGCAGCTTTGATTATAAGAGGGTCCCCGTAAACAATATATTTATTCATGCATTTTTTTTTTACCGAAAATCGGAGAAAGAAAGTTCTTGGAGAAATGCGAAATTTCAGAAATAACATCTCAATGAAACCTGTCGAAAACAGGTCGATCAAGTTTCCAATTGAGGCCAATTCTCAACCTTTGTACTTTGTACTCGGTCTTCAAAAAATGGTGCAGTTTATATGGAAATCGGTTGACGAAAGCAAATTTCCATATAAAGGTTCATACTATGAGATCAGTGTTGAACTGCAAATTACCGTCCGCTCAGGAACCAATCAAAATGCTGCATTTTGCAGGTGGACAGCCTTGCCATATAATAAATACATTTAATAGAACATTTGGGCTTCATTGTCTCGTTGAATTTGACTACAAATTGTAGGGCCATAAATATATATAGCCTATTTATTAACAGAAATTCACCTTCTTTAATTCAATGACAAACAAACAAGGTGTTAAATATTTGGAAGGTAGCAAAAGAATGAAAAACTATCCGTGTGTTGAAAACAAAATTTGCTTATTTAAATGATAAGTGTCGTAAATCCTCTTATATCACACTTGCATCGGTTTTCTTTGTTCGTCCGAGGTTTTTAACTAGCTTATAGACCTTGAATAAATGATTGGATTAAACTTGTAGACAAAACGCGAGAATTTTTCATTAAAAATTTTTGAAAATGACAAAATATGTTGGAAAACCTCCGCAAGTGTGATATAAGTTAGTTATAAACCGAGTAAGTCGGTTTATAACCGATATATTGCCCCTCGGACGCTACGCGTCCTCGGATCAATATATCAGTTATAAACCTCCTACTCGGTTTATAACTCTTACTTATAATAACTCGTGAACATTCCCAACATAGTCAAATCTCTTGTGAGATATAAGTGTAATAATAGCCTCATATTGCGAAAACACTTGTACGGTCGTTAATATTTAAATCCAGCCAATCAGAACCATTAATAAGTTCAGTCGTGACCAATCAGAAACAATCTGGGTGGCGCAACTTTGGGTCGACAAGCACACAGGCTAGTTAACCAGGAAAAGCAATTTTTTCTGCGTTTTGAAAATTTGTGTTTTCCATGTCTTTAGAATTAAATTTTCTATTTATTTTAACGCGATGCAGCTTTGATTATAAGAGGGTCCCCGTAAACAATGTATTTATTCATCACTTTTTTACCGAAAATCGGATTAAGAAAGTTCTTGGAGAATGCGAAATTTAAATAACATCTTAGTGAAACCTGTCGAAAACAGGTCGATCAAGTTTGCAATTGAGGCCAATTCTCAAACTTTGTTGTACTTTGTATTCGGTCTTCAAAAAATGGTGCAGTTCATTAGTTACTATAGCTAGGAGAATTCACGATTTAGATCCGTGTTTTTTGGACAATTATTACTTGTTGAAAAACAACTAAAAGTATCTTATTGATGTAAAACAACACCAAAGGGTTCAAATTTTTTCACAAAAATTACGCAACTGCCGTATGGCAACAATGACGTTTCAAGATGGCGAAAACCTTGGATTTAAGTCATTTAACTCGTCTTATTAAGTTATGAATAATCACATTTACATCATAGATGTTGTTTTACATCACTAAGATACTTTTTATTTCTCAACAAGTAATAATATAATTCTCCAAAAATACGGATCTAAATTGTGAATTTTCCATTTTTAAAAAGCTGTTAGTATCGAGTCACGACATACGTACTAGATGATGAGACTCGGGGTGGCCATATATCGCCTATTGGTATAATCTCATTAGTCATTCACTCACAATCGTTTAAAGACGAAAGAGAGGCCACTGGTGCCCAATTTCTGTATGTCAGCAGACTATAGGTGCCCTTTACCAACGATAACACGAAACTATTAGAGCCGAGCACTTCTAACATGCTTCTAACATGACTCATCACTACCACGGTACCTTAGCACCAACAGAAAGCTCCATTATATATACAGCTATTTCAATTTTCAATTAAGGTTGTCCACGAGCAAAGCGGACTAAAAAGTCGAATACGAGCGCGAAAGGCTTGCTGGGATTCCCAGCGACCTTTCGCGCTTGTATTCGACCTTTCCGCTTTGCTCGGGGACAATCTTACAGTCGATTTCATGAAACTTTGACGACGTACAAATGTTTCGAACTTCGTTGCGAAGTTCGCAAGTTCGTTGCAAAATTCGGAAGTTCATATTGGATTCACAAGCCATTTTGTAAACAAACTGTCCCTGATTGGTCACTGAAATGGAAGAAGCCAATCAGATGCGTAGTTTCCAAACTGGTATGTGAATCTCATTATGAACTTTTGAACTTCGCAACGGAACTTGCGAACTTCGCAACGAAGTTCGGAACATTTGTGGCCAAAGTTTTGTGAAATCGACTGTAATTGAAATAGCTGTATACTTGGAGCGAGCGAGAATTTCAGTTGTTCGACTACAAGATGGCGGCCATTGACGTCCAATAAAAGGTCGTAAACAGCTTTTATAGCATTTCCCCCAGCTAATTCCAGTTTTTTCTAACGGACCGTATCGCTAACCAAGTTATCAGTTCATAAAACCATAGTGTTATTCTTTAAATCGATGTCAAAATACGAAATTTCGGCACACTCCTTGCCAAGATGGCGGAAATTGAAGGAGCTATTGGACGTTAGTTCCAGTCCCATTCTATTGTTTTTGTCTGCGCGGTTAACACGAAGATGGCTTCACTTTTTGGATTAGAGTTCTCGCTCCAGAAAATGTTTTACTACATCGATAATGAGACTCGAGGCGCCTATTATCCGCTCTTCTAGCACGACAGCAATCCACAGTAGATTTGTGCTGGTCCCATCAATATGGCCATCATTGGCTTCATCAGTAATATCAGAGTCTGTAAAGATATGATGGTCTGGAATGCCAGCAAACTTCAAAGCCACAAAATAGAAGACCTTATTTTGATGTTGAACTGTACCTCACCATGCGCAAATCCTTTGTCTCAACTTCATTAAATATTATTCATCGTGGTTGCACGTTTCATCTCAGCTATCCCTATTCAGGACGGTTACTAAATTTTCCGAAAATACAATGAGCTCAAAACATAACTGTTGGGGATTGCCTCCCTTGTTTCGCCCAACAAATTCACGTACAAAATAAAACCACAAAATAAATTCACAATGACGATATACAGTTTGGATATATATATTAGAACAAAATAAACAAAATTCAACAAATTACAGGTTCACTTATAGATTCTCTCCGCTCGCAATATCGCAAAATCACTCTCTCGAGGAAGTTTGTCTCAACACTAAATGTTTCATGCGCATGCAGATATTTTGTGTTGCCTTTCGTAACAGGCACGCATTGACCCGAATTTTATACAAGTTGGTACAACTTGGTACAAGTTGCCAATGTGCTGCTACCCCTTGGGGTACAACTTGCCACCTTGACCGACCTAGTTATAATATTCTAAATTTAACTAAATAAACTTATGCGAAGTAACGTTCAATATAGAAGTTTGATCAACCTAAAATCGGAATCGTTATATAACTAACTAAAACTAATAACATGCTATAAGTACTATTTACAACATGAGCGGCTGTGTTTTGTAGCGGTAATACAATATAGTTATATAAGCTATCACTTGAGGAAAAGAACTGAAGAGGATTATACATATTGTAATCCTGCATGTAATCTTTCATGTAATCTTGTATATAAATCTGTATGTAATCATTGCTGCAATAAGTACCAATGATTAACCACTTAATACTTTGAAATAAAGCCGGAAATTCCCCAAATTCATCTCAAAGTCAACAAGCTTAAGATAAATAGGGAAAAGTTGCTGATCGAATTAGGATTAGAAAACAGGTACATGTTCAAAAACATGACGTACGTAGCTATGGGCTCTTTTCTCTGTCCGTTAATAAAGTCCGGAAATTTGTACTTGATAGTTGTGATGTTACTCTGAGTGTATATCCACATCGGGAAAGCTTGAAAAATATGCCTGGCCACGGTGGGAATCGAACCTACGACCTTTGGAATACTAGCCCAATGCTCTGCCAACTGAGCTACGCGGTTCCTTCGATATCAATGCAATCTAGTAATCACGATTTTTTCTGTGTTGGTGTTATTTTCCAGGCATATTTTTCAAGTTTGCCCAGTGTGGATATACACTCAAAAAAATTTGTACTTGTTACATTCGTCTACTGAAACAAGAGTAGCGAAAAATATACTAAATATTCCACATCACCATTCGTTTCCTGCTTATTCAGCTCAATGCATATAGCCTGTGCCGTAACTTTTGTATAATAAAGAGTCTGCGATAAAAAGATTGAATAATCATACGGATTTCCCAACAATTTGCCATTAGTCAGATATGCAGATTCAATACGTTTCATCTCATGTTCACGGGATTATCGGGTATTATTGTGGTTAGAGCTCGACAACTGGATTCTGTTGCTCAGTTGGTTAGAGTGTTGCACCGAAATCCGCAGGGCCGCAGGTTCGATTCCTGATAGAGGAACCTAGCTAGTCAGTTGCATTTTTCGCAACCGTTAGTCGGCATGCCGGTTACTAGGTCTTATATTGTGTATACAGCTATTTCAATGGACCTTTCCCCTTATAACTAAAATTTCGATCTAGACAAAAATTTCATCACAGCTTGAAAGAGCATCACAAAATTAGTAATATTCCAAAGTTTTGTTGCAAAATCTTGTAAAATGCGGATAATATAGCCTTGCGAAGTTTGCCGTTTTTCAGTCATTTTCTATTACAAACGGGAAATTGACATACGATTCGGGTGTTGGGGCTGCAATTTCCCGTTTGTAATGCAAAATGACTGAAAATTGCAAACTTCGCAAGGCTCTGTTTTCCTCATTTATTTTACAACATTTCGCAACGAAACTTTGGAATATTACTAATTTTGTGATGCTCTTTCAAGCTGTGATGAAATATTTGTCTAGACTTGCCTAGATCAAAATTTTAGCAAGGTTGTCCTCGAGCAACGCGGAAAAGTTGAATACGAGCGCGAAAGGCTTGCTGGGAATCGCTAACAAAATTATTAATTTTTTAGCGATTCGCAGCAAGCCTTTCGCGCTCGTATTCGACTTCTCCGCTTTGCTCGGGGACGACTTTGATTGAAATAACTGTATATTATCATGTTCGCTTGGATTATCCACCAAACCCAGCATGGAAATTAAGTATGCATGCGATTGCTCATCCACAAACTACACGGTAATAATATTCACTGTATTTTCTTACCATTTTAGGACGAACACTGTATTGTGAAAGACAAGTATATTATGCCAGCCCAGCTAGACAACATAGACAGTACATCTCATGTACTGACTGGAGAATATACATTTATGCATATATATGCAGCAATAAATTTACGTGGTATTTCCACAAGCAAAACTATTAAATATACATTTAACTGCCGATTCAAAATGGCCACTGGTTTTCTGGCGAATGGACTTTATGTACAAAACGAAATAATTTACTATCGTTAATAAAGGGGTTCTCCAGTCATTTTTTAGTCGAAAAGCCACCTTAAGTATTGTTTACACTTTTTCGTTATTGTCGCTACTTGACATGCGCACCACGACATGCATGCGTCTTCCGGTGTGCGGAAGTACTCATACTCATGGATACTGCATGTAAGATACAGCCAAACGAATCTCCGTGGAGTCCCCTACTTAAGGTGGCTTTTCGACTAAAAAATGACTCTAGGTTCCCTTTAAAGTCATAAACTTAGGGAATAGGGAACGTTCATTATTTATTTGTATAGGTATATTAGTATAGTTTTAAATGCAATTAAATGCAAAGATGAAAATTTCGCCGAAAGAGTTAGAAGGACGCCTTGTTTGTTTTCAGTCTAAATTGTACGAGAAATCATAGTATTACTAGTTAAAGGGAGTATTTGGCAATAAAAGATTACTTTTGAAATTTTTGAAGCAACCAGGTATATCAGTCATGTTTTCGCTTGCTATAAATAAATATATCAGGTATATCAGTCATGTTTTCGCTTGCTATATAAATAAATAAATGATGCAAAGCCCAGTCGATTTCAGATCACCCTTGATTAAGACACTATATAGACTGAGTGTGAAAACGTTGGGTCGTGAATGCAATTCGAATGGGCTTTGCATTAATTTATAAAAACCTGGGAAGTGAGCGAAACCTTGTTTACTTAATATACTATTTGAAAGAGCTTTGAAAATTTCCTGAAATATTTTGATGACAATATAATCATCATAAATTATTGCATGAGTCGCATGTCCGCCATCTTGGATTATTGTGGATATGCATGTTACCCAGATATGCAACAATCTCATTCCCAGGCTCTTACTTCTTGTGGAGAAAAGACCCTGGCATGAGCTGGTCAAGTGATCTGCTGAAATCTAGTAGATTTCTAAGTAACTATCTTGGATTCCTTTAAAATCCAATCAAATCAAACTTGCAAAACAAAATGCAAGTTATAATTTAAAGAAATAGACAAACGTAATTTTATTGCCATCTCCCATTATTAATACCAGAGACTAATCAGAAAATGTTTGAAAGCAACAAAGTTGTTTTTCGGTGTAAAGCTCTGACTTTTGTAGCTTAAATTAAACGATATACTTAATTATACATACATACATACATATATATATATATATATATATATACATATATATATATATATATATATATATATATATATATATATATATATATATATACACACAT